AGTATGGCACAGACTGGAAAGGAATCCCGGGTTTCGTTTTTCCCTTAGAAAAATAAGTTCTCCGCTTAATGAAAATTAAATATATTTCAAAACAAATTAAATATTACAAAATTGAAGACTAACTGCTAGGTACCGCTGCAGTTGTATACTATTTCTTATAGTTAAAGTCCATTCTTCTGGATTTTGGGCTAGCGAAGTGATCGATGACCAGATTATTAAAATTTGGAATGGATCGAATAAGTGTTTTAAATAATTATCACAAAACGGAAACCGAACCTCATGTACAATCAGTTGGGGCAATAACGATTTCTGAATGTGACTACAGGGAGCTAAATGTGACCACTCAAAATGCATTTAACTATGTATGTGGCTATTTAATCAAAAAATCATTACATACCCACTCTTGCGAAATTTGCGTAAATTTCTCAGAAGAAGGCAATTTACTTAACAATTCTAACTTGTTAACGCATTTTAAAGCATACGACTCTGAAGAAAAGGTGTTTGGCAATTTGAAATCTCCCAGCGAAAAATTTCTCTTTTATATTTTCAAATTAGAAAAAATATTTATATTTCTATTTGATAGTTTGTCAACTAAGTCTGGAATTTCCAACGCATACCTTTTTGAGATGAGCAAAATAGAATTTGGTCATCCTTGCCAACAATTTGCGAAAATGTACACCATTAAATTATTTATACTCTTAAATAAGCAAACAGAGATTTGAAATCCTCGAAAAAGTCAGACAAAACCAAAAGAAAAATTAAAATTTTGTCCCATTTATAAATATTATTGATTTTTTTTCATCATATTTTTGACTGCTTTATAAAAAAAAGTTATTTTTCTTTGTAGTTTTATTTCTTAACTATTCCAATGGTACAACTAACGTTTTTTCGTAATCACAATAAACTATTATCATGATCCAACAAACGCGCACTTTAAGCCAAAACCGGCATCGCCTTTGTGAGGGAGCCGGTAAAGATGCCGCTGCGTACATTCATATCTGGTCTAGGTAATCTGTGCCATGGGTACAGCACGTCACGATAAGGACAGCGTCCCGCTTGTGACGTATAATCCATCGCATGTGTTCATCTCTTGCTAAGCGATATTGTCGTTGTCCTTGTTTTTCGCATCATAATGAGAGAGAAAACAACAGAGGCACATATTTACTGTGCCCATCTTACACTTAATTTCGGAGTTCTCGGATCGTCGCTCGATGCCCGGTTTGCGCTGAATATTAGATAAAATAATAATAGGCATCGAGGAAAATATAAAATATGTAAGTTATTTTTTTTAGTTTATTATACTAAGGTACATGCCCAAGTGCCCTTACGGGCAAACCGCCACTGTAAATGAATAATTTCACAGAGACTAAAATTAATATGAAAAGGAAAAATCTTATTTAATATATTTAAATATAGTAAAGCATAATTTGTTATTCCAAAAAATAATATATAATTTTATATAAAAGCTAACACATGTGTCATTTATTACTGAGATAGCGGTTATGTATAAAAGTTGACATTTTGCTTGAGAAATCATTGCAAAAAATACATATTAATTACCATATTATTAACAAAACGGTCATTAACATAAATAAATATGAATTAGTATTTCGGATGATCGTAATAAATTAAAATATAAGTGACCTATTTGTGTGTTAGATCAAATCAAAATGTCACTTTCACTGACACAAAGCATAGACGATAAATGACATTTGAGTAAGAGGTGTGTCCAAAATAACGAAATAACAGTTCCAACCGTTACACGTTTGGAATGTAATACGCATGCGCTGTACCGTTACTGAATAGTTTTGTATCAAGTTGTAACAAACCTATAAAAATATTAATTCAAATAATTGTTAAATAATAGGTTTGTTCCAACAATCTTGGAACCATATATAAACCAGTCCATAACTTATTGTCGACTATTAATAGTCGACGACCTATAATAATGATAATGATAATTTTTCCTAGAGTAAGAATGAAAGAAGAGTTAATGGACGGAGCTCCACCTGGCACTGAATTCGCCTGTCATAAGTCAGGATTGATGTAGCTGGAAATTTTCAGTAAGTGGTTTGAGCATTTTCTTATGCATGCGAAGCCTACAGCCGAATTCTCTTGCTTGTTAATTCTAAATGGGCATGTTACACATACAAAAAACTTGGAGTTCATCAATATGGCGTGTGATAATTTCGTGACTGCGCTGTATCTGCCGCTCCACTGTAGGCACAAATTACAGCCACTTGATGTGGCATTTATGGGCCCTTAAATACGTTTTATGTTCAAGATATCGAAAAATGTCTTAAGAATAACCCAGGAATAACCATATCACAATTTCAAGTTAGCAAATTGTTTCGTGCTTCGTGCTGCGTATCTTCGAGCAGCAGTGCCTACAACAGCTATAAATGGATTCAGATTTTGTGGGATTGTTCCGTATAATCCGCATGTGTTCAATGATGCAGATTTTGCTGCAGCTGAAGTTACTGATATTGAAGATATTGAAGTCAGAGAAGATTATCCGCAGAACGAGAACTCAAATAATGAAGGCAACCAAATAAATGGTGTAGCCGATCCAATTCCTTCAACCTCGCAAACTAACAAACGAGCTGTTGATTAAAACATGAATGATATCCAAAATAGTGGACCAAGCTGCTCGGGGTTACTTGTCAGTCCAAAAAAACATCGTTCCGATTCCAGAATATAAAACGGAAACGCAGAGAAATAATAGGAAAAGAGGTTCTACCGCAATAATCACATACAGTCCTTATAAGAATTAGCTGGAAATAGCAAAGGAATCTAAAAAACCAGAAGCAGTTAAAAGGCAACTTTTTGGTAGTAAGAAGACTAAAAGCAAGGTTCCGAGAAAGAAATGAAAAATTCCTGTTAAAGATGACACAAGCAGCAGTGACGATGATGGACAGGAAGATGTCGAGTATCTCCACTGCTCAAGCCTTTTCTCAAAATTCAAAAAAGGGGAGGGCTAGATATGCTGCTTAGTGTGCAAAAGATGGACACATGAAGAATGTGGTAGATGCGATGAAGACGACGATGTGTTTACATGTGAAATATGATCTTAAGCTGAATTATATGCGTGATAAATGCTAAAGTACTTTTTTTTATCAGATGTAAGATTGTTAAGAATACTTTTATCATAACCACTTTGCCCAAAATATGGGTGACCACTTTGCTCCGCTGTGTGGGGTAAAGTGGCCATCTGCCAGTATTTTGCAAAATATTTTGTAATAATAATAAAAAAATTAAATTAGGACCTTAATTTTTTTATTATGAATCTTATAATGTTTGAGCTGTAATGTGTACTTAGTTTCATAATCATATTGGTATGTATTTCAAATCACGGGACTTTTGAACCTTAGGGTGGCCACTATACTTGATCTATTATCAAGTGTTTGTTTCTAAAACCAAATTGGTGCAAAGACATCAGATTTTTATTTTCAGTTGTTAGTTTTAGTCGTTTTAGTAGTAGTTTTTTAAATAACTTAGATATTGTCGGTACCAATAATACAATTCATTCGGAGGTTTTCCTGGCTTAGGAATTAGGATAACTTCAGCCATTTTCCACGCATCAGGTATATATTTAAAGCGAAATGCTGCATTTATAAGGTATGTCAATTTAACAATAGCCTTCCGTGGTAGTTTCTTTAATATTTCTCCAGGTCATATCATGAGGCTTTCTGTGAGTTGATGTTTGTCTGAATTTCTTTCGTAACTTCATTGGGAGTAACTAGCCTAATTTCAAGTTGTTCCATATTATGGATCGTCTCATTAGGAGTGTCTTGATTTTCATCTAATTGAAAAGTCTTTTGTAAGTAGTCAGCGAAAATATCAGCTTTCTGTTGATTGTCTCTTGCTCATTTGTTATCTGCTGTTCTGATAGGATAGTGTTTATACGAATTTTTCATCTCTTTAGTTGCTTTTCAGAGCAAATAATCAGTTTCTTTATCATCTGTTAGCCCTACTAAGTATCTGTTGAAGGATTCTTCTTTGTGATTTAGGATTTCTCTTCTAAGTCTTTGGGTAGCCCTATTTAATATATTTTTATCTTTTGGTGATCTTGTCATCTGCCATTTCTTTCTTAGTTTTTTTTCTACTACCAGTTCTCTTATTTCGACAGGATAGTTTTTTTGCAGGTGTTAATCTTCTTACTTTCGGTATGTTCCTCCATGCAGCTTGCTGGCTTTTATATATATTTTTATCCTCTGGCGATCTTATCATCTGTCATTTCTTTCTTATTTTTCTTTTTTCTGCTACCAGTTCTCTTATCTCGACAGGATAGTTTTTTCCAGCTATTAATCTTCTTACTTTTGGTGTGTTCCTCCATGCAGCTTGCTGGATTTCAACTATAAACCATTCCAGTTCTTTATACAGTTGATTTTTCGTTTTTAGTGTTATGGTCAGTTGAATAGTATTTGCTAAGTCCTTTAGAAAACTTTCTCAATAAGTTTTCCGATTTGCTAGTGTCGGTTTTGCTTTTTTTTGAATTATTGAATTATTCTGAATTAAAAAATTATGCGAATGATTTGAGGAAAAACATAAATTAGATTCATTTCACTATATTCAACTCCTACTGTGTCTGTGGCCATGGAAAAAATACAGTCTATTACTCTGTTGGAATGGAAATCAGACACTCTTCCACTTCCAGTAATATCGAATTTTAATTTTAACTTTCTTACAGAATATACTATTCTTACATCAAAGACTAACAGTAAACAAAAAATTGTGTGTCTTGCCGAATCTCTTGATGTAAAGCATGTACCATATAATAATATTGTAATCGCAGTAGTTAGTTTCTGTTAGGATAAACCCTTCACAGAGTAATATTTTAAGAACATCTGTAATTTCGCCTAATCCTTCTTCTTTAACATAAATGACACGTGATTGATAAAGTTCAATTTGTTGGGAATTATGACTACTAAACTTTTAGCCTTATCAATAACAATGTATAATATAATATTAATTGATAACAATGTTAATAGTTATGGCCTCTACAGAAAGTGGAAAACAAGTTTTTGCATTTGCACTTTATTGGGTTAATGGTCAAACTTATCGATTACTGGGTTTTTTATTTGTTCTAAAGCACAAATACCTTTTTAAATCAAGGTTAACGACTTTCTATTGTGTTGAAAAAAATATACAAATATTTTTGCATTAATAAGTCAAAGCAAATGCAATGTGGTATATTTTGTTACTTAGTATTTGGTGTCTATTATTCGCCTTATTTATTATTGCTTTTTTAATTTCTCGATTTGGATATGTGACTTGTGATAATAATGTTTGTTTACTTGGTAAAACTGCGTTAGTTACTGGTGGAAGCACAGGTACTTATTTTTTTTATTTATTTATTTTTAAAATTTTGTTTAGATACCATTGTACAATTTACAAATATAAAATTATTCAGGTTTATAAAATGAATCAAAAGATATGTGGCTCTGTGTGCATGTAGTTGACAATAGTAATGAAAAATAATAAATTGATAAAAAGCAATAATTTGACTACATACAAAAGCAAACGATTTATACAGGGTGTTTCAAAAAAGGTTACTAGGATAGGTAGACCACTGAAAAATAATTTGGGTTTACGCAGTAAAAAAATTTTTGCAATGGCATTCGTTTTCAAGATATACGGTATTAAAAAAAAATTATACACATTTTTCACGATTATGTCAAAACTACTGGCAACATTGTAATGCAATTTTATACGAATGTGTTTTGGAAGCTGACACTTTGCATACATTTGTTTTTATATCTGCTTACCATAGAGGGCGCTAGTTACCGAGTACCGAGTAGTTTTAAACATAACTTTTTTGAGGTTAAATTTGATGTCAACTTAACATCATTCAATTGTACACCAAAACGGTACTCTTGGTAAAACTCGATACTATGTACCGTTTTGGGAATATTTTGATTTGAAAATAATGAAGTAATAACTGATGCTGGTATAAAGTAAGTATTGTTAAAAATACATTTTCCTATTTATTAAAAACCAAGAACAATAACATTATTATACTGAAGAAAATTAAAATAAATTTGACTAAAAACATAAAGTATTCAAGGGAGTAGAAAACCGGTTTTTCCTCATTATTTGCGACGCACAAAATTTGTATTTATGTCTCATTCTTCTCTTAAATTTTCTACTCCCTGAAATTCAAGAATAGGGTCCCTGATGTCTTATTTCTCTTTTACAGTTTCCCTTTTTTACAACTCACTTATCATTATTATACTCTTCACATAGTAGTCTGTGAAGAGTATTTATTAAAGGTTTACTTTCAAGAAACTAACATTTTAACACTCATCCAAATTTAAAAATTTTTGTTCCAAAATCCTTTTCATCAAATTTTAAACAACTTTTAAAAATGTTCGTCCGTCGTCACATTTTTTGTGCGCACAAGTCAAAAACAAAAAATTATATAAACTTGAAATTTTCAGGAAAAACCAAGCTCTATAATGGAACGAAGCCTACTCATTTTTTAAAAAATCTTAATAAAAATGGAGGGTTAAGTAGGTTGAAATTTAAAAAAAAAAAAAATTAAATTAAAAACGAAAAACAATATCAACTTGAAATTTTACGGAACAATCAAGCTCTGCAATGGGATAAAGCCTATTGATTTTTAAAAATAGGATGATTAAAAATGGGGAATTAAGGGGGTCTAAAATTAAAAAAATATATAAATCAAAAACAGAAAACAATATGAACTTGAAGTTTTTAGGGAAAATCAAGCTCTAAAAAGGGAGGAAGCCTATTGATTTTTAAAAAAGTCTGATTGGAAATAGTTGTTAAGGGGATCTGTTAAACTGTGAAGAGTATGAATGCCAAGCATATATCTTAATTCTAGTTTTTATTTTAAAAGGTTATTTATATATTTGAAAATATAATTAAAATTTATAATAAATTGTTTCTTGCTAGCCGGCCATTGACGTTTTATGTCTATTCCTGTTGACATGACATTGTCTCTGTTAAAAGTATAAAGACTAGAGAGCATCGAGTAAATAGAGAGTTATTGCAAGTTCACTTAAGGTCAGTCACTATTAGTGCCGCTCTTATTTTGACATCTGAGCATGCGCAAATCACTTCTTCTTCTTTATTCTTTTATTGGGCTAATCACTTAGCAAGGGGCAAAATTTTGAAAAAATTAAGAATGTTTATTTGTTGAAAAACAAAAAAGATGACAGATAAAAGAGCAATACAAATTGACAAAAGTTTCTAATAAATAAAATAACCCAACAAAAAAGACAGACAAAAACTAAAACACATATTTTTAAAAAACAAACAGAAGTTGTGATATAAAAGAAAAATATGAGAAGAACACATAAAAATAATAAAAAAAAATATTTATAGAAACATAAAAACTCCAACACGTCGACGAAAAAAAGGTAAACGCAAATTTTTAATTTCTTCTTCCTCTACCAAAAATAATCGATAACAGAAAACATGATTTCTTTTTAGATTTTTGCAATTATTTTTCGATGTACGCTCATCATTCAAAGCTCAGTCAGCCTATTTTCATTGATTATTCGCTCTGTGCGTGATAACAGCGCTAACTAATTTATGAACTAACGGACGATATTTGCGTATACTGACAATACAATTTTTAACAGAATTCGTAATTAAAAATATACATGTTGATTTTAATAAAAGTATATGGATTTGTAAAACAAGTGAAAAAATTAATTATTATTATATATTTTTATTACTTCAGCTAAAAAAGTAGTATAATCAATAAAAACCAATAATAAAACATAAGCAGGCAACACTATTTACGAGAAAATGTATGATATGTTGCCTAAGCTTAATAAGTTGTCATTGAAAAATAGGTTAAATAATAAAAAGTTAATATTTATAATTGTACGACACGCCACTAGAAAAAATTACATGTTTGGCCATTTTAATATCATTAATTGCTTAAATATCAATGAAAAGCATAAAATAAACAAACTTGGTGGGTAAAATTTATTACTCTGGAGTGAGACATGTACAATATGTAAATACCAAGTTTTATAACACCAAATAAAATGAAAAATATAAGAAAATATATAAAGCGAAAACGATTGATGTTTATCATTTACCTGTAAAACGTAATATCTGCTTATTTCTTGCCGCTATAACTTTAACACTAATATGCCAAACAATAAACCAATTATTAAATGTCGTTTAATTCAAAAATCAGAAATAAACACGAACAAAAACTTTGGTGTCACCGAAAAGATTAGCACCAAAATAATGGCGGCCAATAGATAATCGGCACAGAATACTACGTGTGCTCGATATACTTGTTACGCGTCCTCTCTTAATCACCTAGTCTAAGGTTAAAAGTATAAAGATTAGAGAGCATCGAGTTAATGTGGAGAGGAGATGACATGCAATACAAATATTAAAAATTTTGTGATACTAGCACAGAATAACCTACCTATTATAGCAGAGGTAGAAGTTGGAAAGGCTTCTAGCAGTTCTCCCACTTTATACACATAAATTGACAGGGTTGTGGCCGATCTAACCAAAGTGGACGCGATACATTGGCGTACAAAATTATTTTATAGATGTTTATAATTTAGTGTCATCGGCATCAACTACTAAGGTCATTGTTAATAACAATTTCGAGTAAATAGTTTAATAAATTGTGAATAGCTGTTAAAATTTTGTAAAATTATGATTTGAATATTATAATACATGTTTAATAATTATTTATAGTCCATAAATACATGCGATGGTCCGGTTCCGCCGGTAACAATTAAAATTACTTATTGCAGGTAAACATTACTGCAAAATTCTCGAAGCCGTCCGACGTGGTTTGACGTTTATCCCTTCTCTACCTACTAAAAGCCTTTCCAACTTCTACTTGTGCTATACAGAAGCGAAGGCTTGCATCGGTCCTTTGATGTCGGGGTGGTCAAAATTTAAAGTGACACTCAGTGACAGTTGACGTTTTTGCCGGAATTTTTGTAATAAGACTTTCGCAAGAGTCTCTTATAATAATTTGACAACTCGGTGGATACATTCGTAATTGTGTGCAATGAAAAATATCGAAAAAAGAAAAAATAAGTTTATCAAATAGTTAAGCCGATATACATGGGTTATTTTTAGTGTAAAATCCATATACATTCCTAAATTTACATAAATACGTCGTTTTAAGGTGGACGCCCAATGCTTGGGGATGAAAGTGACGTCCGATTGATAGCAGGATTTATATATATATATATATATATATATATATATATATATATATATATATATATATATATATATATATATAGATAAATAAAATTAAAACATATTAACAACATACTAATAGGAGAATAGTATCTACAGTCTGTTCGCTATAATTACGGGGGTTTCGGATTAACAAAATTATGCAAATTAGTCATTGACAACCAGTTCCAATAAGCCTCTTCCCAAGAAATTAGGTAAAATTGCCCTAATGGTCAGATTTAAATTAAAATAACATTAGGGTAGGTACTAAATTTGTTACAAATATTGCAGTTGAATTGATTCTTTGCAAGTGTTGACATTGAATGTATATTGTAAATTTAGTGGAAATTTTAAAAATGCCTAGACGTGTGTTAGATGTAGATAGTCTAATTTGTAGTCTACATAAGTATTTAACGGATATAAAAGAAAATGGCGGTCCTTTAAAACCGGTAATGTCTGTACAATAACGCGTATGTGATGCTCTAGGAATTAGTGAAACCAAATTAAGAGGAGTATTACAAAATCACAATAGTGAACTGCCAAAAAAAGATCACCGCAAAACTCGCCCATCATTGAAAACGAAAGATATTCCAGATGGAAAGAAATTTGAAATTCGTGATACCATTTATCGAACGAGGGCCAACAAGGAACATGTGACCTTAAATACAATTCTCTCGGAATTAATAGATAGAAAATTTGACGACATTGGCAGAACAAGTCTATGGCAAGTGATACATAACTTGGGTTTCAAATTTCAAAAGGAGGATAACAGAAAGGCCCTTTGTGAAAGAAGTTCTGTCCTGCACAAGAGAATTAACTTTCTAAGAAAATATTCTAAATTTAAAGAAGAAGGGGCGAATTTTATATATTTAGACGAAATATGGATATTTTCTAGGGGTGCAACCAAGAGACTATGGCAAGATGATAACGTAAAGTCCATCAAACATACCGATGGAGAAGGGAAGCGACACATAATCTAACATGCAGGAGGGAAATCGGGTTTTATAGAAGGTGCTGATTTAATATTTTCATCAGAATCAAAATCCAGTGACTATCACGATAATATGAACACAGAAATGTTTGTAAAATGGTTGCATGAAAAACTTCTCCCAGGTCTAAGTGAGCCCAGCGTAATTATTTTAGACAATGCACCTTACCATTCTGAAGTATTAAACAAAAGTCCAACGAATTGTTGGACTGTTGATAAAATTAAAGACTGGTTGACAAAGGAACATATGCCATTTCCTCAATATATATTAAAATCAGAATTATTACGCTTGGCAAATATACACGCAAAACCAAAAACTTTTGTTGTGGATCAGATTATTGAAAGTTACGGTCATCAAGTTTTACGTCTGCCACCGTATCATTGCCAGTTTAATCCCATCGAATATATATGGGGAATAGCAAAACAATATTATGACAACCACATTGGGCCTAATGGTTGTAGTGACGACGCAGTTCGGGAAACTTGGAGAAAAGCACTTTCAATTGCAACTCCAGAAGTGTGGCGGATCTGTATATCCAAGTACGAGAAACTAATAGAAGATTGGTGGACTCGTGAAAATAAAATAAACGAAATAAGTCCAATCATAATAACAATTAATGGTGATGACAGTTATGATGATGACGATTATGATATTTCGGATGATAATGACTGATTTTCATTTTTGTTGGCAAGTTCAATTTTTTTATTTTTCATTTCAAATTCTCTACATGGAACAAATTTTTATGTTAGAAAATATTTTATTTGAGCTAAATAACCGTATTATTATACATATACCATATTTTCTGTGTGGAGTGTAATATAAAATTATTATTAGGTTTATAATAGCCACATTAGACTAGATTATTATTTAATTAAAAAGTTGTACATTATTTTTAATTTCATTTAACCAGTTGATATTTCCCCAAAGAACAGGTCAAACTTTCGGGTACTTACCTGGAAATACTCATAAAATTTTTAATCCGAAACCCGTGTAAGTATAGCAAACATACTGTAGATAGACTCATCTTGCAATAAAGTGAATGTTTTATAATATAGGCCTATGTGTTCACAATTATAAAAGTTTTTTAATCTCACCCTTAAACCACAATATTAGCAATATAAACAGCCATTACTTATAGCGTTAAACTGTATTTTAGAAACGTTTGTAGATAATACATAATTACAGCTACCCAAATAATATAATATAGATTTTATTATATTTTAATTATAGGGATTAAAAATAACTTTATTTATACAATGCACACTAATGGCACTTTGTTTTCATTTTTTTATTTAATAAATCTAGCAAAGTCTTTTATTGGTTTTGATAAGTAAGATCCACAATATTTAAAAATAAAAAAAATTATTTAGCTTAATTTGTGGCTTTAGTTTGACTGAAATAGCATGATAAAAAACATACTCGGGCTATCTTGATATTTAGGAGAGCACAATATTTAATTATCAAGTTATAAAATCAATTTTAGGAAACAGACTTCAAAAATGAAGTATTTGATGATTATTTAAAATATACTGTACCTTTATTGCTTTTATTAGAAGAATACTTTTATTTTTAGGTTTAGGCCACGAAATAGTTCTTTCTCTAGCATCAAGAGGATGTCGAGTAATAATAGCGGGAAGAACAATAAATTCAGCTTTAAAAAACAAAATTATAGAGGAAACTAATAACCCAAATATAGTCTTATACCATGTAGATTTCACTTCGTTTAAATCTGTACGGCAGCTAGCAAAAAAACTGAATGAAACTGAAGAAAAATTAGATATTTTGGTGAACAACTCTGGAATTGGGAAATCTTTGTATACAGATCGTACTGAAGATGGTTTGGATATAACCATGCAGATCAATCATTATAGTCCGTTTCTGCTTACAAATCTTTTAGCAGGTATTTTATTTATATTTATATTATTTTAGTGACTCCTTAAAAAGACGGAGAGGATATTTACAAAATATTAGTAACTATTCTAATAATTTGCATGAAATGTATGACCTTTCCAAGGCTCTCAACAGGATAGAGCCCTGTGAGACCACAGCAAGTAGGGTAAATGTGTCTGACAGGGAGTTGCCTACTTTGACAGTGATTGTTCTGTTGGTGAGGTAGGAGTTCATGGGCTTTTTGACTAGTCCGGCGTATCAGACTTGGTCGAAGGCTTTTTGAACGTCTAGAAGAATGGCTGATATGAGAGAGATAGGCCTGTATGAATCTAAGGATTTGGGGTCCTTGTCTGGTTTGGGAATCAAAATGTTAGCGGATTTTCATGAAATTTTGATCTTTAATTATGGGATAAATTTGTTGGAAGGCATGTTTTTGTCTTCTAACTTTGAAAAAAACTATTGTTTACTGCGATTTGTGATATTAAATTCTTTTGTGAATTTTTTTTGGTAAGCGGGATATTAACTAATATATGGATCATACTGTTTGTATGCTGCTTTCTTTTATTTATATGGATTAGATGAACTATTATTTTAATATCAGTATGTGATGCCCAAAACTATAGGCTTTATTAATTTTAATGATATTTAAGTCTAAAAATTTATATATTGGGGGTGTATAGTATTAGTCCAGTAAATGAAGACCTAAAAATATGCAAAGCTGTCATTAAGTCGGTCCAGATTTCCTTTGTGGCTCAATTCTTAGGTCTTGACGGTTGCTTTTAAGGGCGAAAACTTTTACCAACACTGCTGGGTCGGAAAGGGCTCAAAATGGCACCTAAAGTCCGAAAAAATGGTTTCCCGCTAATATCTGCCAAAATATACAAATTAGACAATTTTTGTTTAAATAAAAAATGAAGATCGTATCATTATCTACAAAAGTGGTCTCTACCATTTTTTTCGCAAGACGAATATTTTTTGCAAAAACGGCCTTCGAAAAAGCCCGAATTTTTGCACTGAATAGAAATGTTAGTTTCTCACTGAATTTCCGCTTGAGGGAGTTGGGAATACAATGATTTTCATGTTTTGGACTTTGGAGACCAATTGTAGATGGCGCCAGCTGCGTACCTCTGCTCACTAAATTATGAGGCCTATGAATCGAAATCCGGGCATCAATCGATCTTTCGACAATTATTGGCGGATTCTACGGGATTTTTTCTGTAAAGTAGCGCTTGGGGTATCTCATCTATATTGCCGAATTTAATAGAAAAGTGTAAAAAAATTTTTTTTTCATGTGGCAGTCTCAAATCCCGGCGCTTTGCCTAATAGTGGGTTACTAGTTTTAGAGTGTGATGAATATTGACCCGAGAAGACCCTTTATATTTTCTGCGTCTTTTGCAAAATTTTCGCCAACTTCTATCGGAACAATATAGGTCCAGGATTTCAGAAAAATAATAAAGTTTCTGAAAAATTTCTTTTATTATGAAAAACATACGAAATACATAGCAATGCTTACAATTTATCATACGTTAAACCATTCAATGTCATCAGAATCATACTCTTCATCGTCTTGCTCTTGCTCTATTCCTTCCCCTCCTCCACGCGTCCCTTCCCCCTGATTTTCCAACCCCTGTGTTGCTGTCTCGACAGCTATTTCATCTTCCTCCCCTTCAACCCCTTCTGGGTCTCGATTCATCTCTAATTCTTCCGGGAAAATACCTTCATTTTAGTTATAATTAAAAGACTGTGTCGACTGACACGAACTACAGACAGGCGAGCATTTCAGTCCGGCTTGCAAACATGAACAATTCAAGAGATCCGGAAGGGGGGGGGGGGGCGGATCCCTTGTGGTCTTCACCGGTAGCAGTACATCTTCTGCACGTTTCCATCCCCATTCCTCTGGTGGCAGTTCGTTTCCAAGCCATTTCTGCACTTGTAAATATACCCTATAAAAGGGCTGCCTAGCAGATTCTTGGGTAGGAGGTAAGTATTGTAGTTTTATCGCAGTCTTGTTTTGGGCCAAGTTGTTGAAAGTCTTGTATCGGAGGACCTGGAGAGATGTCACCTCTTTTGGAGATTTGTAAATCGACATCAAAACAGTTTCTCCGTTCTTGAATACAGTCTCATGAGAAAGGCTCTGATTTTGAAAACATTCAATGGCTGTTTTTAGTTCACTGGACTGACCTTCTCCTGCCAATTTAGATAAATTTTCCACTACTGACTTTTTTCCTTTTCTGAAAAAAGCAGAGGTAGTATCGCTCCCAATCATTGCATGTAAAAACAACATGTTATCTCTCATGAAAGGCTGATCATCAAGGCTCCCGGAAGAAAATAGCTGTTCGGGCTTGTTTCCTTTGGCAGCTTTTAAAAAATACATTTTCCGATCTCTTGGGGTCAAGGCTGTTAATAATGCTAGTACATCAATGTCCTCTGCCACTGTTTCTACAATTAATGAATCAGCATCGTCCAAAGCCTGTTTCGTGGAAATACCATTTTCTTCCAAGGCTTCTATCAAATATTTGATGAACCGACTTTTATTATAGTTACTCGATAAAAACTTGTCCTTTGAAACCGGTACAGACATGCCAGGATCAAATTGGATGTCAGGACATGACTTGTTGGTCGCCCGCCGCAAACGTTCAGCACCTTTATTGCTATTAGAATTGAGGTCATACCCATCGAATACAACTGTCACGTCCTGTGGATTCTTGAAAATTCAAGAATGACGTCGGATTTTTCACTTTAAAAACTTCTTTTTTTTAACAACTTAATTGATAATGATAAAATACTATCAATAGTTTTCTAAAATACTATCAATAATACCGACAATAACGACTCCAAAAACAACAGAGATTGTATACCAACAAAAGCAGACGATTAAGGTGAGCGCGTGGGTACACGTGGTTAGGTTATGATGGAATATCATGGATCTCAGGCGGAGAGCGTAAAAATGGGGGAGATAATTCTAACAAACAGTTAAGAACCACGCTCACATACGGTGATCAATTGATAGAAATGGAAAGGTGAGAATATCTTCTTCACTTCGGTCTGGGTATTAATGCTCAAAAACTGAACAGCGGGAACAAGAAGTATTTAAAAAAAAAGTCCGGTTTTCCACGGTGTGATCAATTTTCCCGATTTCTGGAAAATGGAGCAACTTTATTAAAAAAAAAATACATTCGAAAAGTAGACTCTCTAAGCTTTAAAATGGTGTGCATTGAATAACAATATAATGAAATATGAATTTTTAATTACTGCTTGTTTCAAAGATTTCTAGAACTCCAAAAAAGGAATGAAAAATGCAAATAAACAAATCAATTTTGTTTTAAAACGCCAGGAAGATACTGGAAAAAAAATTCTGAGATCATTCGAGACATCTCAAGATCCCATTTAAAACAAAAATGGGATAAAAAACTATTAAAAGAAAAAAAAATATGAATGAATTACTACAAAGTGGTCCAAAATAGTGGGAAAACGCAACGTTGGCCCCTTTTTCAATGTTCTTGACAGGAAATAACGGGCTTCAAGGCACATGGATTGATACCTATGGGTTTGCCCATTATAATAAACTTTGAATCATCTAAAATATCAATTTTTGACCGAGTTCTGAAACAATTCGTCCACCTGTTTACAAGCTAATCAGCATTGCTATAGAGATAAAGCAGGGGCTGAACGAGGGGACTTTTGATTGCGGTTATCTCGAAACCTGTCAAATTCCTGACAAAATGATAGAAACCATTTTTGTAGATAATGATAAGATCTTACTTTTTTATCTAAACAAAAATTGTCTAATTTGCATATTGTGGAAGATATTGGCGGGAAATTTAGATTGCGCAACTCATTTACTTTAAAAAAGGTACTCTTGATAAGACTCGATTACTCTCATGGTTTTGAAGAAATTTGCATTTTAGTAATTTTAGAACATAAACAATAATTATTAAAATACAAACTTTGTCAAAACCATGAGAGTAAATCGAGTGTTATCAAGGGTACTTTTTTGTAGTAAATGAGTACCCAATCCAAATTTCATACGTAAACCCCTTTTTTGCCATTGGCGTAGAATTTTTGCAATTATTTAAAAAATCAAGTTCTACGCCTATGTATTATTATCGGACAAAATTTTACACGATGAAAAACATAAAAATGTACTTTTTTCATATCTTCTTCAACACCTCTAATCGAGACTTTTAACAAAAAAAACTCGATTCTTGCCATGTACGATTTTTGGTGGAATATTAATTATTTGCCTGCAATACGTATACAAAACCTTTATTGTTGGTTTCCATAGTTTCATCTAAATAAAAATATTGTCAAGTTTTAACACCTAATCTCTTGTTAACGATTTAAAGTGTTCTATCTGACTCAATAATTAAAAAAACAAATGCGTGGTTTATTAATATGGCTGTACAATATACCAATGCAGAATATACCGATATGTTACTGACATTAGGATTTTGTGAAGGAAATGCTCGAGAGAGTGTCAGGGTGTACTCTGAAAGGTTTCCAAATCGTCGTGTATCTGGCCACCCAACTTTTGCTGCTGTTGAGAGACGTCTTCGGGAGACCGGTTCCTTTGCTCCCAACACTGTTGATAATGGAAGAGAACGTTTTGTAAGGATTCCTGAAGTTGAAGAAGACATTTTAGAACGTGTTGAAGAAGATCCAGAATTAAGCACCAGACGAATTGGAAAGGAACTAGGAGTAAGTAAAGATGTCGTTCATTAAGTGCTTAGAGAACAATTGATATATCCATACCATAAGAAGCCAGTACAAGAATTATTAGTCCATGATCCTCAAATTCGTTTGGGTTTTTGTCGATTTGTTAATATGCAAAGAGAAAGACATCCAAACTTTATCAAGAAGGTTCTTTTTACCGATGAAGCGGGTTTTACAAGAAGAGGTATAACTAATACCCATAATGAACATGTTTATGCCGTTGAAAATCCGCATGCAATAAAGGTAAACCATTTTCAGCACAAATTCAAAATTAATGTGTGGGCTGGAATAATTGGTAATTTCATTGTTGGTCCTGTCATACTTCCACGAAGATTAACTGAAGAAAATTATTTGGATTTTCTACAAAATACGTTGCCAGAATTGTTAGAAGATATGTGGTTTATGCAAGATGGAGCTTCACCACATTTTTCTTTAAACGTTAGAAACCACTTGAATGAACAATATCCACACAAATGGATAGGCAGAGGTAATGACGCACCTGTAAACTGGCCACTACGTTCCCCAGACCTAACACCGATGGATTACTTTTTATGAGGACATCTGAAATCCACAGTTTACAGGGAACCTATAGAAAATGAGGAAGAACTCTGGAAACGTATTCAAGATGCAATAAACAATTTTAGAGGTGATGAAGAAGTTATGGAAAGGATACATTTTAATTTTCTTGGACGTATAAATCTTTGTATGCGTGAAAATGTTAAACATTTTGAACAATTTTTGTAAAATCTCTATTTTGATTATGTTGTAAATAAATATATTTGTGAAACCTATACACTCTAAATTATTAAAACAGAAATTTAGCGAAAACCATGAGAGTAATCGAGTCTTATCAAGAGTACCTTTTTTAAAGTAAATGAGTTGCGCAATCTAAATTTCATACTCAAACTCCTTTTCTTCCATTGGCGTAGAATTTTTAAAGTTGCAATTATTTAAAAAATCAAGTTCTACGCCTATGTATTATTATCGGACAAAATTTTAATACCACTTTTTTTTGCCACATAAAACTCTACCAATATACCAAATTTCAGCAAAATCGCATATGCCGTTTTAAATTTATATGGGAAAAACGATTTAAAAATTGTAACTTCAAGGCCCTCTGGAGCCCAAACGAAGCAACTTTGTACTAAGGTAATTTTACTTAAATCGACTTATTTTGGTCTAAGGAATATGTGGTATGTTTTAGTAAAGACATTTTACAGACACCCTGTATATTATAGGTATAAACACTTCCCTAGTAATGTATAAACAATGCCGGATAATTTTTTTAATATTTATATTTTTGCAGGGCTACTGAAGAAATCAAACAATGGAAGAATCATTTTTACATCGTCATTTTTGTCCTTCTTTCATGTGATAACGAAAAGAAGTGTAACGCCTTTAAAAATCAAAAATCTTCCACAAGCTCTATATGGGCTTACTTATGGCAATACGAAATTCTTAAACATCGTCTCATCGGATATTTTTGCTGAAAAATTAAAAAAATGGAATATAACAAGTAATGTGTATAATCCTTTGGTGGCAAAAACGAATATTTTTAACCAAGTTACAAAAAATGTTGATTATAGAATTTTAGTAGACAACATTGTAAATGTTATTTCTAAAATGTTGGTTAATTTATTTGGAATCGTAAGTATAGTATTTATAGGTATGTGTAATATCCAGTTCCAAAATCTGATTGGTTAAATATCCGAAAAATATGAGACTACATTTCCAGGAAATTCCCAAACAAAAAAAATCTAAAACGTGAGGTTGGATTCGAAATTTTATATTCATCTTAACTATTTGGAAATCTTTGATAAAATCCGATTACAATGAGACGAACATCGCTACGTCATAACCATTATTTCGAATTAATAAATGTAGAAAAGGTAAGTTGTAAAAAAATAATTTCTATAATATTAACAGGCCACTTTTACAGTAGGCTGCGATATCTAACGAATAAATCAGCTAAGTAATGACAAAGCTGTGTTCTTCTTATTGTAATCGGACCTTACAGGATTTCAATGAGCATGTTTAGTTTAAGGCAGCCACAATCACAAAAAGTTGCCAAATTATCAAAATTACAGGGGAACATTTGAAAATTTTGATATTTTTCAAATATTAAATAAAGTAGGAATACAATTTGCACGAGAAGTTTGAAACTGCGAAATAAAAGTTTTGGCTTATGTTAAAGATGAAAGAAAAGAAAATGTTATTTAGGCTTGATGTTATTTGGAATAAAAAGTAGTTATATTGAATTAGTTTATAAAAATCTATTTTTAAGAAAAGTAACACTTAGAACAGTTAGATAAGAAAATTAACAACACATAACAGTTTCATCAGAACTAAAGTCAGAATCATTTCTGTTTGGTAATAAAATAATGGAAACAATTTCTAATCTGTTTATTATATGTTCCCGTTCATACAATTTGAAAATTTATTTTTAAGGGGGTATTTTACACTGTTTGTGGAAAGGACAATGGGAAGAAACGTATGGGAAATTGCCCTATATCCAATAAGAATAAGTTATATACCAACTGAAAGATCTTTTTAAAGAGAACATTTATTTTCTTTTCATTATGATTCATCTCAATTACCGTTCCGAGTTATATCATCACATCTAACTACACGATAGGCCACTGCTTATATTAGGTTATTGTAGTGCTTATTACAGGCAAATAATAGTCATTATTACTTCCTAGTAATATAAAAACATCTGGGTATATCATATGATGCAGTCAAAAATTTTAACCCTTATGTGTATCTCCTACCAAAGGTCCTTTACCTGTTAGTTACACGGCCTTACGTATACCCTCCAAAGAACCAAGGTAATGGACAAACATAATACAATCATGAATATTATTACCCGAATTACATTAGAACGAATATAAAGCCATTTGTAACATATTTGTGGCCGGAGAGGCTAGCCGCGAGCTTAGTGTGCATCCACTTACTCGCAACAGTTAAGCAGTGATCTCTCCGGTCACGTCGTGGATAGGTGACCGCTGGGAGGTTCCACTATGGGCCGTGTCACCATGGGATTCATCCGACTAGCGTTTAACCATCGACGACGTGGAATGATAGAATGAGGGTGTGAATGGGAAAGTAGTAGGGGACCTTCAAATGGTGATACAATAAGCCGCAGGCTGCAGTGCTGCCAGACTACAGACGGATTAGGGTGTAGCACGGGAGATCTGAAGGGTGTTAAACTAAAAAACTAAACATATTTGTAACATATTCTTTTTAAAAATTTCTATTACATAGGAAAATGAATATCTATTGTAGCCATAATTTAAAAATGTTTTGAAATTTACAGTGTGCCTCAAAAAGTATTAATATTGAAAAATTCTAAACGTTATAACCATTTTAATTACTTAGTACAATATAAACTCTATACAAAATGAAAGCAATAGGCAGAAGACATTTATTAGGCAAGCTAGGAGGTGGCTTGCATGAAAAATGCCTTTCAGCTAAACACAAGTTAGATTATATCTTCTATAACTTGGCAACTATGCATTTTTTCAATTCGAGATTTAAGTTTTTGTTTAGTTGTTATCAAGAAAGTGTCCCTATGGCAATAGTTTGTCCGTAAGTGATTTTAGCTAAAGTTAAATTAAATTATCTATAAGTTAGAAAATAGGCATTTCCTTACCATTAAATTTGGGTTTTGTTTAGTCGTTACCATGACAACTGTCTCTATGGCAACGGTTTCTCCGTAACTGATTTCAGCTAGACTATAGTGAAATTAAATCATTTATAACTTGGCAACCAAGCATTTCCTCACCACGGGATTTGGGTTTTTCTTTACTCGTTACCATGATAAGTATTTCTATGACAACATTGGCAACATTTTCTCCGTAAGTGATTTCAGCTAAAGTTACATTAAATCATCTATAAGTTAGCAAATAAGCATTTCCTTACCACTAAATTTGGGTTTGTGTTTAGTCGTTACCATGACAACTGTCTCTATGGCAACAATTTCTCTGTAACTGATTTCATTTAAACTATAGTGAAATTAAATCATCTATAACTTGGCAACCAAGCATTTGCTCACCACGGGATTTGGGTTTTTGTTAACTCGTTACTATGATAAGTATCTCTTTGGCAACATTGGCAACAGTTTCTCCATAATTGATTTCAGCTAAATTAAATTATTTATAACTTGACAACTACCTATGGCAACAGTTTCCACATAACTGATTTCAGCTAAACTAAAGTTAAATTAAATCATATAACTTGGTAATTACGCATTTCCTCACCACGGAATTTGAATTTTTGTGTAGTCGTTACCATGACAAGCGTGAAGTGGGTGGGGGCGATTTATGCCAGAATCCACTAACAAAATCCACTAAAAAACCTGCATTTTGTCACATGCACTACAAGCATTTTTTGGCATGCTCCTGGTGATAAACAATGACACAGAAACTGTGACATGTTAAATTCCCCAACTATCATGTCTCGGTTTCTAAATCATTCTTAGCTAAAGTGAACCGGTTAATGTCAAACGTCAATCGTCAACGTTTTAGATAAATGGGGCTATGTTATGTGTATTTAAAAGGTATTTAACGATAAACAAACTGTGAAAAATCTAAAATTGAGGAATACATGCAATTTTTATTTTAAACAGCAAATTCAAATAGAATTTAGAGACAGTTCAACGAAAACTCAGACTTAATAATTAATTATTATACATAAAACAGAAATATGAACGCACAAAATAAAACGCAGCTTTGGCAGCTACCAAAAATTCCAAAACAAAACGGTATCACAGAACGCTATGAACGAAAACTCAAAATGTCAACTATCATTATCAATCGTTTGTTCACCATCTCAAGCTCAAGAGGCCGGCACCAGATTCATCACGGCGGTAGCAAACAATGACGTCAGTGAAAGACGTCATAACGATTCACGTCGCAAAAATGATGCGGGTAATACCATTTGATTATCGGGAGTTAGCCAAAAATTGGTGTATGATATAACTCGAAACGGATAGATAACTGAGAGAAGTCATAATAAAAACAATGTTCTTACTGATTTTTTTTTCATTTTGCATATAGCTTACTCCTATTGGGGGTGGGGCGAAACTGCCCTTTTTCCCTTGTGTGGTAATGGTTCGGAGAGACATGTATATGTTACAGGCCGTTTATGAAAAATAGACCATATATAAAAGGACTAGTCTGTATATAAAAGGACTGAGGATATTAGTGTAAAATGCTTGTCTTTTAATAAAATGTCTAATCCGTTTGTAAAAGTCTAGTCTATTTATATACGGCCCAGCTGCACCTTTTTTTTTCTCTCCTGGGCTCGTCTGACTATGTGTCTCCGAATAACACTGAAGCCTATTGGCTTATTGTGTTGCACCTACGCCATATGTATATTTTTAAGATATTTAAACACATTTTTTTTTTTTAATTTATTTATTATAGAAATGAGTTATACATAAAAATACGTACGTAAAGAATACAAATCAGGACATTTCATTTTTTTTATTTGTTTGTACAACTTAAGCTATTATGTCATTTAGAATTGCATAATACATTACCTTTTCGACAAGCACATTTCTTTGATTGACATTTACCCTTACAATTACATTTTTTAAAACCTTGCCCATGTCTTGTCGATTGAGCAGTTGCCACCGATCTAAGAGGGATTTCCCTGTCTTTGGAAACTTCTTCAATTTTCAAAATGTTAGCAGGGCACGTACTAAATTCTGAACGACTATAGTATTTTGAAATCACTCCTTCTTTTGTTTCCAAGCGGTAAAACCCATCTTCTGTGGCTTCCAGTACTACAGCTAAAACTGACCTAGCATCTCCTCTGCCCCGATCGACGTCTGGAACGGGAATTCTTACAGTTGATCCAATTTTTGGATTTGGATGGGTACAAATATTTTCCGAACATATGGCTTCCCAACATCGAAACCTTCTTCATTCACGGGACTGAAACAAGTACTGCATATTGGATATGAAATTTCTTGACCATTATCATGATTTTCCGCTAATACTCCTTCCAGCTGCCCTTCTATGACCTCTTCTGTTTCTGTAACAATTTCTATCTCCGATTGATGCGATTGCTTGATTTCTGCATTGCCAGCAATGACAGCATGAATGGAATTAATTACATTTTCCAAGTCTTCTTCAGTTGTTACACTATCTATAGCTTCTAATGGAATATTTGAAGTTTTTAATCCAATTTTTGGTTTGCCCCCGAAAATGGCTTCATATTGAGATCTTTTTATCCCAGAATGTAAAAAAGTATTCTTCATAAATCGTATGACTCTTAAACCTTGACTACAATGCTCTGTTTTGTTTTCCAACATCCATGTGGTTAGCATGTTGTCTACATCTTGATTGGCGCGTTCGACGCTGCCTTGGCTCTGGCTGTGGCGTGGTTTGCCATGCACAAGCTATCAGATTGCAAAACCACAGGGGCTCCAAAAATGGTAAAAATATCGACAAGGTGGTAAGCGATTTCTTTTGCACGTTTAGTCGCAAAATGACAAATTTTGTCAAATGATCCTGATATACAAGAACAAATTTGTATTTACCATCAGCATGGGATTGGTAATCTATTAAATCTACTTGGCAGCGAGAATTCAAATCGTTGAAAATCATGGGTTTTGACACGATTCCCTTCTTTTCTCTCTTTTGCTTCATTTGACATGGTGCAAATAGGTTAATAAATAATAAAATATCAGTATGAACTATGTTCTTTTCATCATGCGATCTCTATCTCCATGACCTGTAAGTAAAAAAACATTATCAATATTCAGCATTTTCTCACAATAATTATTGAACAACATACCTGTAGTTATGTGTATCTCTTGAAGAATGTTAAATAGTTCATCGTCATGGACGTAGTATATTACATCAACTGATTGATTGTTAAGAGGTACTATCAGTTTTTCTAAGCTCTATATAGATAATATATCATAATGGTTCAGAAGCCAATGCATTCTTGGCGTCTTTTTCTCAGCAACCTTAGCACTTTTTACTTCTTCAATAAGAGCAGACTACTTTTCTATCGTTAAGCCACGGTTGTTTTCAGCGACGTTTTTCCGTCGCTCATACAATTGTTCATAAAACCTAAATAAACAAAAAACAATGTTATGACAATTGTTGTCATGAACAACACGCGGAAGATCTCTAATAGGTAAAACTTGGGTGAGGTTATGTTACTAATTATTGTTATTACATTAATAAAATACCTTTCTTTTTGAGATTCCATTCCCAAAAACTGTATCATACGACAATAAAAACACTCAACGTCGTTGCCCAATTTAGACTGTATGTATACGACCTAGGCCATATACATACGGTCTGATTTTATATATGGTCTGTAACATATATACAACACAAGTTGATTACACTTTAGTATCTAACCCCAATGAGTACAAAAAAATTTAAATATTTTTGTATTTCTAAACGATATAGGTATTGTTTAAATTATTTATGACTTTTTTAGGATCCAAAATTAAGCATCCAAGCAGCTATCCAATTAGCGACATCTAAAGAGTATACAAATATAAGCGGTACATTTTTAGGAAAAGTGTTTCCAAAACTGAAACCTCGAGCTTGTCATGACAGAATATTGTGTGAAGCTATTTGGAGAGCATCTGAAGAGGTTGTTCAGTTAACTGATGAAGAAAAATTAAAATGAATAAATATAACAAAATGATATATAGGGCTTTTTAAGAAAGTCAACAGTTAATAAAAATATCTAGTTTAAGATATAGAAAATAAAAGTCCTTATTATCTCACATTAATATGCATAATGCGATCGGTTTCGAAGTAATAATTGTTAGTTATAGTTATAATTATTTTACGTTCAGACACGCCATATTCTCTAATCTGATAATAAATTACCTGTTCTGACAAAATTGTACTGACTGTTCCACTACCTTCTGTTACCATATTCTGGCACTAGCTAATAAGTATAAAAAAAAGAGACTACAGTTATTAATAAAAAGAACACAACAGTATACAAACTTGCAATCTCTGGATTATCATCCCAATCCCACAAACAACCGACCATGTGATAGATCTGTAGAAGAAGTAATAATTCACATACCCGGTTTTGGTCACCGGTGAATCAAAGTCTTTATTCTTGAATTGTGTCTGTGATGAGGTTAATAAAACTATCTGTTCACTTTTGTGTCTCTATGCGCTAGTTCAGTGTGATGTAATTTTGGTTCCACTGACATTTAATTCTAACCAATCTTTTAACAAAAACATCAATAAATTTGACATATACGTTTTTACTGTTTGTAATTGGTAATTAAACGATTGTATATTTGACGAATGTTATCTACTTACTTTAGGAATATATTTATAAAAGTGAAAAAACGATATAATTTAGGTAAACAAAACGAACAAAACGCACTCAAAAAATTTACTGTCACTTTAATTGTCAGTGGAACCATAATTACATCATCACTGAACTAGCGCATTTAAAATGTTTATTTCATCCCCCAACTGTACAATATGTCAAGTACCACATACTTTGAAAAGTATGTGTCAGGTACCCACTGCTGCCAAATCATGTACAGTGTTACCAACATATACCACAGTGTCCATTGTTGTCACGATCTATAAGATACATTTGACAAATTTCTTTGATGACATTTTGACTTATTAGGCATTCCAACGACCTGTCAAACAATAGGTGCCAGTGGGAAATTCTTGTATATTTAAGGGGGGTAGCGACATAGTCTTGCAACTTGGACGCTATTTTTATTCGAAGTAGTACTCGCCAAGCCTGCCAATTTATGAAGAAATGTATAGATGGGTTTTTTAAATATTATTTTTATTGTGTTTGACATAAAATATTTAAATGTAATCCATTATTCATGATTTTACGTAGAGTAGATAGAATACACCATATGTCGCCACCCTTAGATATACCAAACCTGCCCACTGGTAATTCATTTGTTTGGAATGCCTAATTGCTATCAGCTGTCAATAATCTGGATGTTTAAAAAGCACATACTTTGATTACTATACGAGGCAAGAGAGAGGTCCGACACGCCCAACATAGGGCGCGGCCATTTTGAACCCTGTGACACAGTTTACAGCTAAAGAATCAGATCGCTCACTCTGCGTCGGCACTTTTGATCTCAATGTTTCAGTTTATACATTGTGCAACTCGGATATTAAAATATATGACAACCGCCTATAATAAAACAGCAGTCTTCTGCGTATCCTGAATTTGTATCCCTGGAGTGGACGTTATTTTGGAACTTTCAACTGGTCTGAGTGAGCTAACTGATTCTTTAGCAATAAACTGTGACTTCAAAAATAATATTAGGCATTCCAAACTGAATGGCTACCAGTGGGTTCTGACGGGTTATGATATGGCAAAATTATGGCAACCCTGTAGGCCTGGTGATTTGACAAGGTTAATGAAATAGATAGTTACATAGATTGATCATCCATATTTTTCAAAATAAACATAAGCTTATGCCTTAAAGTAAAAATGTAAGCAATTATTTTTTTTTAAATATCTAAAGGCTAAAAATTGGTTTTAAAACACATTTTTGCTAAACCGATTCAAATTAATAAATATTTGCCAGGCAATATGGCCGCTCGTAAACGACCAGCTTTGAGCAATCTATATAACTATATATGTATCATTGACCCTGTTAATGACAACATGACAACAGGGTTGCCATATCTAAACTGTCATTACCCACTGGTAGCCATTTGGACAGGTCGTTGGAATGCCTAATTCACTGACACTGACAGCAGCAAGCAAAATATCAGGTGCGTTTTAATCATCCGCTTCTGCTTCCGGAATTGTCGGTTTAGTCGTTTTAACCTGTCAGATTAAAACAAGAAAACCGACAATTCCGAAGCAGAAGCGGATGATTAAAACGCACATATTAAAAATATTGCGCCAAGATGTAGGCAACACGTAATAAGGGTTCAAAATGGCGGAGTTTTCTATCTCCTTTTAAAAGGCACTCAGAAAGCTGCGCAGTGCGACCATTCTCCGTATAGTAAAAGAAAATCAAAGTATGTGTTAAAAAGTAATTCCTTCTCTTGAAATGATAGATCACACGATTCTAGAATCGACGCCCAGATTACTCTATTACTTTTACTGTTTCAAATATGCAGCATTAAAAATCAATTTAAGAGACAAGAAATTTAATATTCAAATTATATTTTTTATTGTCAACAATTTTAGAAAATCATAAGAAGAAAACTAATTAAAATTGACCATATTTTATAATTTTTCATGGAACCACGAGAATATTATACAAATTTTGGACCTCTTAAAGTGGAGAAAAACTATAACTATATATTCAAAATTTTATTTACACAATAATACCATTTGTAAATATTTTAAAACTGAACTACATCTGGTAAGCAACATAAAGAATCAAAATTAACGATTCATTTTATTACGCGACATCACAAACCTGAACATCAATGATTGTTTATATTGTTAAAATGTTGACAACTTTGTGTTTTTGATGTCAATTTTAATTTTATTACACCAAAATATCAGTAGGAACTGTAGGAAGTAATGAAAGTATTCAAAAAATTAAATTTTACGATTTTTGACCACAGTTTTATGGTTGATAATTTGCAGACTACAAGGCGTAAAGATATTCAAAATTATGGTGATTTTTTTTTTTAGTTGCAGTTACCAAAACATTGTTTTACCATATATATTAAAATGTATATAGGGTGGATCATAAGTGGCTTATTTGCTACTAAAAGAACTTTTAAATGTTGTTGCCCAAAATTATTGACGGTTCAAGAATTATTTGATATTTTCGAAAAAAGAAAACGAATATTTGCAAAACAAATTGTTGATAATAAAACCTTGTTAGAATCTATGAAAAATGGACAATTTTTAAGATGAAAGGGAAGTTAATGTTTTGCTCATAATTCATTAACGTACTTTCAAAATTAAATAAAATTTTTAGTAAAACAAAGTATTTGGAAAATATGTTATTATAATAATTCATAAATATATATTTATCAGAAGGGCACAACATTGCACAGTGTACACTTAAAAATATTAGCTAAACAACAAACATTTTTCCGAGCTTTTGTTGAGTCATTAAGCAGTTTTTACCAAATGTATTACTTTGAAACCATCCAATATATAATATCTTCTATTACCTTACTGCGTTTGATCCATGACTTAAACTTATGGGACACCATCTAGGTAAATTATTATTTCAGTACCTCGGAGGTATGGAGTGTGGAGGTAAGGAGAACTATCTTTGTTTACAAAAAGTGTCCTTCAAAATGTGTGAAGTCAAGATTGCATTTCTGTACCAGAAGGACGTCGCCAGTCGATAATTCAGATCACACAATCACACCAATGATGTTTATAGTTACATATATTGATTACCCATATGTAAATAAGAGGGCATAATCAAAAAACTAAAAACTACACCGAGAAAAGTGACTGAACTGAGTAATCGTAGATAAATTTTGACAATAGTCAAATTTTATTGTAATTATAAACAATATTATATTAAAATGTACTCAATCAAAAGTTGCTTGAGTGGTCGTAAAAGTTTAAAAAAAGACATGGCCTAGCAAGAAAAAATTGCAACGAAATTTCTAGGGTTGTGTTTTTTTTTTTAAATACATGTACATAATAAACAAAAAATACAATATTAGAATTAAAAACTAATCAAAAAACTATAAACAAAATTAATTTTTTTCTTTGTTTTCTTTTTGCTGAAAAGTTATGTTGCTTCATTTTGCTATTTGAGTTCGACGACCTGTTTTGCCAACTTTTGTGCATTCCTGACAATGCCATTCGTAAAACTGCTATACTGGTTGCCTGCGTGAAATAATGCTTTTTAGTGGCGCCTCGCTTTTCGTCGTCTGATTTACATATGGATGAGCAATCTATATGACTGTATATCATTGAATTTTTCCCAGCTAGTATACGAGCGCCATTCTTTGGTCACTTTTAAAAACATATTTACTTCTTTTTGGTGGACACTTTTTGATATAACCAACGATATAAGATTGTCCTCTTTTCGTTCGCACTCCATACTCAGAGGTAAACTGCACTATGTCATTCTAGTCAACTTTTCAGTAGAGCCACATACTTTGATTACTATACGGTACAAGAGAGACGTCCGACACGCCCAACATAGGGCGCGGCCTTACTTACTCTGAGGGCGCGGCCATGTTGATGCAATTACTACTAGGTTATGCAACACATTATTTCTCCAAAATGTTAAACTGGTAGTCTACATCTTGGTATTTTGAGATTTTAAATGAAGGCAACAAAAATGTAGAAGAGACGTTTATTTATTTTAAATAAAATACAAGAATTTTCTTTGAAGTAAAGTTATAATTGCGAGTTCATCTTGAAATAGAGGTGAGTGGTTTTAAATTATTTTTAAAACTGTGCATATGATTTTACCTTAATATTATGATATTTTTCGCCAGTCCCATGCCCATGAACAAACATTTTATTTTTGTAATGTAATAAAAATCTTTGAGGCTAAACAATCTAATGTAATATTTTTTCAGCTGTAAATATGGTACGAAACTATAAAATAAAAACAAAGAAATGTTAGATTAAAGAAGCTCTAACTAAAAGATATTACCAGAGGAATATATACTCTTGCAGGCAAGCTGCAAAAGATAGTTGCTTTGTGTTTTAATCTTATAATCTATATGTAGATGTTTTGTTCATCTACAAATGAGTCTTTTTTCAGTTGTTACTCAGTAAAAAATTGCTGAATATTTTCTATTCAAGAAAATACCCCTATGTATTACTACTGCCACCATCTCCACCAATATTCTCGTTTTCAAAGATTACACAAGTTTGTTAATTGTATTAACATTACATTGCCAGTGTACATTTTCAAAACTCTTGCATATCTCTTTACTTTATGCTTAGATGGTCTAGCTATGCTTTTCTTAGCCAACATATGGTGGCTCTAAAAGACGTTTTTGTTACTTTTATGATTCCTGTATATGTCTAA